ATCTCTCCAAGGGGCCTGGGATTTGGAGACTCTCGGCTCTGTAGGTAAATAAGCAGGGGTGTGGGCTATTTTACAGACTACGCTCATCCGGCTGGGGTCGGGAAGGGACAACTCGTTTGATTAGCTCACCCTCTCTCTGCGAGCGGGGTTGAAGTCGTACTCCTGGGAGGAACATAAACGGGTGGCTGCGACAGCGAGGCACATGGAGGGGAGGGTGGCAGATTTCAGACAGAAGGTGATGGATCAACCCCATTCCTCCCAACACCACAGAGAGTTGGCGCACTATGAGATACTTCTTGTCGCATACTGTGGAAACTGTACGGTGCGGCTTCAGCTGCTTGCGGGAATCAAGGCGGAGTTAAGGGGGGAGGTCCCTCCAAGTTCCTATCTGCTAAAGTGAAGGCGCGGAAGGCGAAGAAAGAGATTGCGGAAGTGGTGTACAAGTGTCAACGCTACAGTGGGAGTAAAGAGGTGCTTACAACGGCATCGGCACATTTCACCGAAGCCTTTGGGGCAGCGGAAGTAGCAGTCAAAGGCGCGACGTGGGAGGTGGAGCCGGGCGAGACACAGGATGTGGCCGCATGGAGCAGCCTACAAGCCCCGTGGACCAAGCAGGAAGTGCAGCAGACCCTTGCGGAACTGGCTGCGAACAGGTCACCTGGGGGGGATGGCCTTTCGAAGGACCTTTCCAAGCTCACTAGGACCTGTTGAGGAGCCAGGTCATGGGCTTCATAAAGGAGTTTGAGGAAACGGTGGTGCTTTCAGAGGAAGTGACGGCAGCTGCCACAATCCTGCTGCACAAAAAAGGTCCAGTGGAGGCGTTGAGTAATAATCGACCAATCACGCTGCTCAACACATCATACAAGGTGGTGGCAAAGGTTTTGGCGAGTAGGATAAAGAAAGTGATGCATCAGGTGGTGTCGGAGGAGCAGTATGGTTTTCTGCCTGGGCGGAGGCTAGCGGACGCAGTGGCGGTGGTAGCGGATGTGATAGACGCAGCTAAGTGCGGGCAGCGGGAGTGGTACCTGCTCCTGGTCAATTTCTAGAAGGCATATGATACAATCTCTAGGGGTTACCTTTTCAACACCATGCACGCGATGGGCTTTCCTGAACGGTTCGTTGGATGGGCGGAAGGGCTGCACCGGAAGTCGAGCACGAGGTTGTGCATCAATGGCTGGCTACGTGGTAGGGTGGAGATGGTTAAAGGGGTCAGGTAGGGGTGTTCGCTTGCCCCGTACCTCTTCTTGTGCACGGCAGAGCCACTGTGTCAGGAGGCCGCTAAGGAGGAACTTGGGTATATTGTGCAGAGGTTGCGGTAGGCAAACGTATCTGGGGTACGTGGATGACACGACCCTGCTCATCAGTGGGAGGTAACAGCTGGGGAAGGCGGAGGTGTTGCTTAATGATTTTGCAGTAGTGTCGGGTATGAAGACGAATAATGATAAGTCTGTGGTGGTGCCACTAGGCAAGGCTAGGGGCAAGGCGCCGGCTCAAGACACATCTTTCAAATGGGCAGCGCCAGGGGTCCTTGAAAGGCTCCTAGGGGTGTGGATCACTCCAGATGGTGATGCGACACCTGCATGGGACAAGGCGTTGGGAAGGGTGCAAGAGGTGCTGAGCAAGTGGGAGTGCCAGCATCTGACTACCACAGCCAGAGTTACCATTCTTAATAGTTACGTCATACCAATTCTCCTTTCCAGGCGCAGGTCTACCCCCCTCCGACCGATGTGCGGAAGCAGTTGAAGAAGCTGGGCCACAACTTTGTCTCAGGGGGGAGGGCGTCTACGGATAACCTCTTCATCCTGTGGGGTTATCAGCTGGTGTGCACAAATAGGAAGAATGGAGGACAAGGGTTTATTGATCCGCGAGCAAGGGTGGTCAGTATGGCGGTCTGCAGTATCGTGGCCATGCTATTGGAAAGCCATAAGATGAAGGCAAGGCTTGCCCTGGATGCAGCGAACTTGCCTTTAGGTGTGGCGACCTTTTACGCCCACCCGGACCTATTGAAGCATTGGGCGGAGGGGAGCCAAAGGTGGAAGGCGGCAGCAGAGACTATCATGAGGTCCACGCTGGCGGCTGTGCCGGAAGCCAGCTCGAGGTGGGAGGTGGAGAACGAGCAACTTCCGTTCAATCGGAGCATTATGTTCAGGGGCAATAGCCCTTTCGACAACCAGCAAGCGGCAGAGAAGCTGCTGGGGGTGACGGTGGGCGACCTGGTTTGGAAGAGACTGGACGGGAGCAGAGGGCAGAAAACTCAGGAAGTGCTATCGGCAGAGTCGGGCACAGTTGTGGCGGCGAAAATGGCGCCGAGGGCTTTTGCTGCAGCTCTGGCGCACTGGAGGCAGTTGGTGACGGCCACGCTTACGTCAGAAGAGATCCTACGGCACACCACGGTGGTTCGCACCCGCAACCATCGCAACGACGGTTTCAACTACTGGAGAGCAGCTCAAGAGGAAGGGGGCAAGCTCGTATGCAGTCTACTTCAGCTGGACAGTCGCCTTGGGGTACCGGAAGCCGCGTCTCCAGGCAGTGTGCAGTTATACGTCGGCTCGGTCTTGCCTATGAAAGTGGACAGAGGCAGGGTGGTCGGAGTGCTAGGCGACCCACGGGTCCGCCTACTAGCTACACCTATCTACGACGAGGGGAAGCCTGCTTCCTTGAAAACACTGAGACAGGCATTAGTGGTGGCGGGGACTCAGCCGAAGCAACAGCAAACTTGGGAGGCGAGCTGGGGGAAAAAGATTCAGTAGAGGAAGGTCGTTGAAAGTAGGGATTCCCACATTCTTCCACGCAGGGCAAAGGATGTCATGTTGAGGATTCATAGTATGAATTTGCAAGTAGGAGGCAGGTTGTCCTTTTTGGGCAGCGATGCTGTATGCCCGCACTGCCGACATGACGAGTCCGTTGCCCAGTGCTTATTCGAATGCCCGGAACTCCAGCCGATCATTTGCGTGCTTAAGCAAGCTTTGCGGTTGATGAATCCGACCCGCACGATTTCCTCCCTGGAAGACTTGCTCTTTCAAGACAGCTGCACGAAGTCGGGTTTTCCGGAGCAGACAATTACGGCCATCACGCTACATCGCATCTGGAGTGAGAGGTGTGGGGCAGTTTTCAGGAAGGATGGGTTCCGGAAAAAGAGGGCGTTACGGATGATTGAGAAAGCTTTCAACCTGCATGAGAGGACATACAATGGGTTGAAATTACAGATGGTGATGGCAAGGAATCCGAGGCAGACAAACGGTTGGGGGCACCTGGCGCCTGACGAGGCGATAGTTCTGCGCCGCATCTGCATGGACAGGATGAGGCTGCTGACGTGGAGCAAGGAGTTCCAGTCCATCTGAAAGGACCCGCGCACGCTTCACAAACCGCCGTAGATCAGGATAGGGGGGCTGGTAATGCATACCTAGACCTCTCTCCATACAGTCATGACTGTGGATGTATGCATTATTTATAGTGTTCCCTGTCAATTTCGCTCTAGCAACCCAACTATTTCAAAGTTGCCCCCACTTCAAGAGGGACTCACTTGAAGCCCCCCTTTGCTATTTTAGCCTGTGGTTTAAAGTTTCGATAAACTTCGCGCAGTTGAACCTGCAGTCCCCTTCGAAGGCGAGATGACCGTTCGATGGAATGCATCGACGGAGCCAAAAAAAAATACGGGGGCAAAAGGCCTCGACCTCGCGAGCGTGGCAGTTCTGGCGGAACACACCCTGCGACATTCCAAGAAGTTCGCAGTTCGCCACGACTCTTGGAGTTGAGCCGAAATGTGCGGAGTCGCGACCGACCACATCCGTCCGATGGATATTCGACGCTTCAGCTCGACCGATGTGAAACGAAATCCTTCTGAGCGAGTTCGAGTTTCAACGTGAATGGAAGCGGGACCTCCCTAACCGCAAAATTCATTGGAGCATCCGATCGTTCAACATTCGACATCGACGATTGAGAATTGCTGCAGGAAACGAGATGATCCGGATACCAATAGCTGCTGAACGTGACTCAGGAATATTTTCATATTGCTTGGATTTTGGACCGTCGGATCGACTTCTGCTTCAACGGACGAGATGGAGCGCGATGTCTGCAAAAAGGAGAACGACGCGCAGAACAAAAACTCAGCCGCCTTCGACACCGCTCGCATCATCTGGACAACCAGTTTCGGATTCCTCCATTTGGTGACATATTTGGCGGGCAAATCATCGGCAAGGTCGGAAATCTGCCAAAGGATTGCCTACTTGGTAATAACTGTAGGCAGAAAACTGACAGGAGAATGTGGATCGTCAAAATGTTGCGGAATCAATGGCAGGAATGCAGCGGAAACTACACAATGGAAAATCAACATCATGGAGATAACATTCATGACCAACGAGTGCAGAATCGACGCATCTTCTAACTAGTTTCGACAACGATCTACTTATTTTGACGAAGTCATCTTCATTAAAAATTGATCGACATCAACACAGCGGATCTTCACCCAGGAAAAACAATGAAGCTGCGTGAAGATATGTTCTCCATCCACAAGACACTTCTTCACATAAATTGATTGACAAGCTATGAGATTGCAAAGAAGTAGCCGTTTTCTCTTGCAATGCTCCCAAATTCATGTTGTTGTGAAGGAGCAGATTTCGCACGCAATGACGGCCCATTTCGTCAAGACCAGCAAGATACTACTTCGTCACAGGAGCTGGTCAATTTGTCTTCATCAAGAATCTCAGCCATCGGAAGTGATTGATTGGAGCAATCTCAACATCAACCTTACGAGGCGACACACGAATCATGCGTCACAATTCCAAATGTTAATGACCCGCGTGGAAAAATTTCCGTACATGTCACGATGCTTGATAGATTGAGGAGTAATTAACATCGAATCCGGCTAGTATTCGTTCACTAGCGACCCTACGACACATGCATTGGAGGCGATTCTGCCAGAAGCCGAAGCGTTACAAGCACCAACGTAACTTCGACAATACAGGAGAACGCTAACACGAGGTGTCAACAAACGAGAGAGATGCTAACTACTACAACACAATCACGTGCTCTAACGACCATACATCGGAGGCACGGATGAGCATACCAGGAATTGCTACCCGTGGATACACAGAAGGGAGAAGCAAATTTCTCTTCATACCCTCAAATGAAACCATCACCGGCAGCAATGGAGCAACACATGTGTACCAATATGCACGTATTCCTGGTAGTTACGCCTGTTACACCCATCACGTACACTCTACTGGGAAGAGGGAGTTGATGGATTCTCCTTCAACCATTACGAGTTCAGAGAATTCTTTACAGCAGCTGCCGTCGTCGGCGCCGCAGCAGCAGAAGACTCGACACAACGGTCACAACCAAATCCTAATGGATGATTCTCCATTCAATGAAGATAACGCTGGATCATATTCCCGTATGATCGTAAAGTTTTGGCCAGGCACAACATTGATTTCCAGCTAGTGAGAATGAGATACCACTATGCAATGGAATTGCTGTGGCAATGCCATATACCCTCAAGAGCAGGAGATATTTGCTCTTATGAGGATGGGAGGACTACGGCAATCTACCGACATCCAATTCCTCATGGCCTATGGCTTTCCTTAAAGTTATAAAACCTGTGTCGCAACTAATCCATCACCAGCACCACCTCCACTGAAGCAGATAGGCCTGAAATGGAGCACCGGCGCCACTCTGAATAGTGGACTCAGCGTATCTCCAACAACACCCCTATTTGTCAAAATGGAGCAGACTTCAACACTGATGCTGAGTAGCTGAGACGTCTTTGACATCAACGCTACTTCAAGGACAATGACAGAATGAGACAACACATGATGGCACCAGAAAACCTATCCCACTAAGTGCGCCTAGACACCGATGCCTACCGATGGCCTCCGTGCTAAACTGGAAGTGCATAAGGTCATACTGGATTGGCTGTAGGCAATGACTATTCGAAAATGGGAGAGGATTATTTGGGAATAGCCCTAATGTTCGAAACTTAGCGCTATGCCACACTTGTTTCCAAAATAGTAACACCATTTTTTTTCCATCCTGTTACAAGGTTGTCGAGTTCTGCTTCAACCGTATCATGCTTGGCGCGATTGTGACACAACCGAAAAGCGGGGTTGAGATTTACTCCTCGGCTGTCAATCTGGACAGTTCATACCGAGCGACGTTCTAGATCTATTTTCACCCGTCACTCAGTGTGCACATCGTCTCGCGCAACAGCTGCTAGTCTAGGAGTTTGAAGCAAACCTACGACCACATCGCGATGAAGCCGGTAGATGACAAGAACTGCGCGCGAATCATAAGCATGTTGCGCAAAGGGCATGTGTTACAGGATCGAATGTGTCGAGGAAAGGTTGCACGATCGATTGATACAAGGCGCTTTTATACTTCCAAAGTACATCAGGTAACCAGGTCTATCTTATCCCAAGGGAATAGACCTTTCTAGAAAATAGAATCACCCTGCCCAGATCTTTGTTGATCCTTTCCGGTGCGCGATGTCGTTGTCCCACTGTAGCAGATGTCGCTTTTATGCCAAGGGAATTTCGGGGTCAATGGTGTACCCGTGTGTGAAGAGTCCCTTGAGGAGTGGATTCATCCCTTCAACCTGGATTGCGGCAACGTGTGCAGGCCGACTGAGAGCGTCTGCATTGTTTTTGTGGCCAGGCTTGTACACGATGTCGTAGTGGAAGTGTGTCTCGAGGAAGTCGATCCACCGAACCTGTCGCCTGGAGAGGCTTGGTTGTGTCTTCAAATATTTCAGGCTGCAATGGTCGGTGTAGACTATTGTTTTGCCTCCTTCGAGATAACATCTCCACGTTTTGAAGGCGATGATGATAGCAAGGGCCTCCTTGTCGTGTATCGGGTAGTTGAGTTCTGCTTTGTGTAATTTTTTGCTGAGGTAGGCAATTGGGGGCAGTCCATTCCCCTGGTCTTGCATCAAGACTGCTCCTACTGCCTGGTCACTGGCGTCAGCTTCGATGACGTAGTCGCGTTCAGGGTCTGGCAAGATGAGTACGGGTGCGGACGTGAGTGCTTGTTTCAGCTGCTCCACGGCTTCCTGGTGTTGTGGTTCCCAGTTATAGGGCGTGTTCTTCTTTAGCAGATTCGTGAGTGGCATGGCGATTTTCGCGTATTGCGGCACGAACCAAGGAAGTGCTATAACTCCTTCACGTTCTTGGGTGTTTTCCACGTACGCACGGCTTGTAGTAGTTACTGAAGCCAAGGAACTGCTCTAACTCCTTCACGTTCTTTGGTGTTTTCCACGTACGCACGGCTTTAATTTCTTGGGGTCGACATGAAATCCTTGAGCGCTTACGATATGTCCGAGGAATTGGACTTTCTCGAGGGCGAAGTCGCTCTTGGATAGTTTGACGTAGAAGCGTTCTCGCCGAAGAATTTCGAAGACACGTCGCAGGTGTTCAACATGTTGTCGCATGTCACGTGAGTAGATGAGGATGTCGTCCAAGTACACCACCACGCATTCGTGCAAGAGTGGGCACAGGATGTGATTCATCTCTGCTTGGAACGTTGCAGGTGCCTTGGTGAGTCCGAACGGCATTACCAGATAATCGTACGATCCGTACCGAGTTCGGAAGGCAATTTTGTGAACGGAATCGTCTGCCATTCTTATTTGCCAGTATCCGGACCGCAGATCTAATTCTGAAAATACCGTGGCTCCCCGAAGCTGGTCGAGCAGATCATCGATTCATGGAATTGGTTACTTCTTCTTTATGGCCTGCTTTTGGAGAGCCCGGTACTCGATGCACATGCGCAGGCTTCCGTCCGGTTTCGGTGTGAAGAGTACTGGGGCACCGTACGGTGAAGTGGATGGTCGGATGAGTCCTTTGGGGAGGAGATACTCGATCTGTTTCTTCATGTCCACTAGTTCTGTGGGGCTTAGCCGATATGGTGCTCGGAAGGTCGGTTTCGACCCTGGTTCCTCCACGATCTCGTGTTGGTGCGTTTGGTATGGCGGTAACTCGTCCGGGAGGTCGTCGGGAAGAATGTCTTGGAACTCCTTCAGTATTTTCTTGATTTCTCTTGGAGGTTCCGAGGTATTCTCTTCGTCCCTTTCTACATCTCTTGCTAATGCCAGGAACCCGCGGTTGGTTCTTTTCACGTCCTTCTCGAACCTGGCGAGTGTCTCCACTGGGATGTCTCATGTATCGTCCCAGTTGGGTAGCTGGACTCTCATTCCTTTGTTGCAGATGTTTGCGGTACGATTTACCCAGTTGATCTCGGGGTTGAATTTCTTGAGGAAGTCTCGCCCGAAGATCAGGTCAAGCCCTTTTATGTTGGTGATGGGGAGAGCAGGTTTCCAGCGTAGTGGCCCGATTTGTAGGTGTAGCACTACTTCGCGATACACTGGTAACTTGCAGCCGTCCACCATCGTTGCAGAAAACGCGGATGGCTTGTACTCTTCTCGAAGTCGGTCAATGGTTGCTTTGTCCCATACGGTGTGCGATGCTCCGCTGTCCACAAGTGCTTTGTGTTAGAATTAAGGACGGAGTCTAGGTGAACTTAGGAACTAGAATTACTCAAAATATAAATCCGAAATTCTGGACAGAAAAGTCGTCTTCACAAGAAACAATGTCGACGAAAAACTAGCCGTTGGAATGTCGCGAAACTTGGATATGTTGTAGCTCTTAATCTCAGCTACCGTTCCCAATTTGAATCACGTTGATTGATGAAGTATTCGCGACGCTATAGCTTTGGACGCATTAGGGGGTAAGCTATAGGAGGAGAACTTAACTCAATCTCAAAGGTTCAATCAAAGTTCAAGAATCTCACAAGGAATTAGAGGAGCAAGAGAAAGGTTGGGATAGAAGAGAAGGATGAGAGGGAAGGTCCCAAGAGAGTCCCCAACCAAGGAAACCCCATAAGCACAAAGATTCCCTCCCTATAGGAACCCCAACTTTGACATTTGTCCCTTCCCAACCAATCCATCCAAGTTGGCCACCCTTGCCAACCTAGCTTGGTTGTTCCCAACCAATTTGCAGCTGTTACAGTGAGTGACAAATTTCCCCAACCCCCAAAGGTCCCAACTCCATATACAGTCACCCCACAACTTCACTTTGTAACCGCCGCAATTGTAACGCAAGCTCATGAACTTTGAATCTTCATAGCTTTCGCGTTCTTGCTCCGATTGAAGGGATTCTCGTTGCGTCAGAAAGATCTTCTCAAGATCTATCATCACAAATACCTGCTCAAACAAAATAACACAAAACACATTCCCAAACTCCAGAACACATCACACACAAATTCTTGCACACGTTCAAACCACACATGCAAGTTGAAAAAATATGGGATGGGAGGCAGACAGAATGTGATAGCATATGATGACATCACAAAACAATCTCCCCCTCTGGCTGCCAACCATCATCTATCATACCAACATCTCAAGCATGCATACTCAATGCACACTCATCCCAGCAAGCTTCATGCCCTTCCAATGATCCGCCTCCGCCAGACGCTTGGTGAAAATATCTGCTGCCTGCTGATGGGTCTTCACTATCTCCAGCCGCACCTCCTTATCAAGGAGTCTCCTCACCCAGTGCCACTTAGGCCTTATGTGTTTTGTCAGCCCATGCAGACAAGCATTCTTGGCGAGCTTCACAGCAGACTCATTGTCACAGAACACAACTGTCGGCTCCTCCTGACCAACTCCCAACTCCTCCAACAAGCGCCTCAGCCACACCACTTCCTTGGCCCCATGGTGTAAGGCCATGTACTCAGTCTCACATGAGGACAATCCCACCTCATTCTGCTTCTTGCTCCGCCAGCTCACAGCACCACCTCCTAGCAAGCACACATAACCCCCAATGCTGGTGCCATCCGCTTTCACTGAGTTGAAGCTAGCGTCAGTATAGCAACTCAAGAGCATCTCTCCACTCTTCACATCTGCAGCACCTCTCTGCAACCGCTGCCTCACTCCACTGTACTCCAATCCCACTGATGCCGTAGCGCTCACATAGCGGACCAACCTGTTGGCCGCTTCCAGCTGCTCATGACTAGGGCGTGAGACCACACTAGCCAATCGTGATGTAGCAAATGCAATGTCAGGCCGTGTATGATTTGCAGCATAATTCAGCGACCCAACCATCGAATGAAACAGCTTCCTGTCACTATCACCCACTACCTCCTCATAAGCACATGGCTCCACAGTGAACCCCGAAGGTAGTGGTGTTGCGCTTTCCCCCATCTTGCAGCCCATACTTCTCAGCCAGCCCCTCACAGTACTTCCTCTGGTGCAACCTCAGCACACCCTTCTCCACATCTCTCTCCACATGCATCCCCAAGTAGTACTTCACCTCACCCATCTTGGAACACTTGAACTGCATCTCCAGCATCTGCTCTGCGCTGTCCAGCAAAGTAGTTGATGCAGAAAACAGAAGGATATCATCCGCGTACACCAAGAGCATGAGGATTTCATCCTTCTCCTGCAGCAGGAACAGGCTAGGGTCACACTCAGTCTTCTTGAAACCCCCAGCCAACAGCGCCTCCTCCAACTTGTGATACCATGCACGAGGCGCCTGCTTAAGGCCATAGATGGCCTTCTTCAGCCTGCAGACCCTGCCGCTCCCATCATCCAGCCCCTCTGGCTGCTTCATGTACACCTCCTCCAGAATGATCTCATTCAGAAAGGCAGTCACAATGTCCATCTGTCGTATCTTCCATCCCAGGAGTGCAGCTATGGCCAACAGCACCCTCAGTGTTGTTCCTTTCCCCACAGGAGCAAACACCTCATCATAGTCCTTCCCCTTTGTCTGCTGAAACCCCCGTGCCACAAGCCTAGACTTGTAGCGGGTCAGCTCCCCTTCAGGTCCATACTTGTGCATGTAGATCATCTTGGAAGTGATTGCCTTCTTCCCAGGAGGCAAGTCACACAGGTCCCATGTCTCGTTTTCAATCAGGGACCCGAACTCCTCATCCTCACTCGCCTTCCACTTCTCCCCATTTGGTCCATTCAAGGCCTCCTCTCGAGTCTTGGGCTCAGGGATTGGTGCCCAGTAGCAGTGAGCGATCTCATCTTCCTCAATCTGCTCAACCACACTCCCAGCCTGCACCACATTTGGCTTGCCTCTTCCCCCATAGGTCAGCCTCACAGGAGGGCGCACATCCCTCCTAGGTCGCTCAGGCGGGTGTGGAACTCGAGGTGGAGACTCATGTTGCTGCTGCTGCTGCTCCACTTCAGCTGCTCCCCCTTCTCCAGTCACCCCAGACATCTCCTCCTCAGACACTGCAACCTCCACCTGCCTTGAAGGCTGCTGCAACTCATCTGCCTCCACAATGAGTGGTGTAGATGGAAGCTTCTGTTGCTGCTGCTTCCATTGCTTGTAGTACAGGGACTCAAGAAACTTCACATCCCTTGACACTGTCAGCTTCTGGGTGGTCAAGTCCCATAGCAGCCATCCCTTGTGATCCTTTGCAATCCCCAAGTGCACACCCCATCTTCCAGAAGCCTCCAACTTCCCTCTTTTCTTCTTAGGCACATGAAACACTACCATGCACCCAAATGCCCTCAGCATATTCACAGCTGGAGCACTCCCATACCACTTGGTATATGGGATCCACTCCTTATCCCCAACTGTAGCCAGCACCCTAAGGGCTGTATTCTTCACAAGGGCGACCTGCCTCAGTGCAGACACCCAAAACGGATCAGGCAGCCCTGCACGCCCAAGGAGAGTGCGTGCCCCCTCCTGCAGGGTCCTGTTGAACCTCTCAGCCACGCCATTCTGCTGCGGATTGTATGGCACTGTCAGTTGATGCTGGATCCCCTTCCTCTTCAACTCCCCCTCAAAATCAGCTCCAATGAACTCCCCACCATTGTCACTGCGGATCACCTTCACCTTGTGTCCGCATTCCCTCTGAGCTCTAGGCATCCACTCCTTAAGGACAGCCGCTGCCACCTCCCCCTTGCTGTTCAAAGGGTAAACCCACACTGCCCGAGTGTGGTCATCCACAATTGTCAAGAAATAGCGGCTGCCTGAGAGGGAAGGGGCTCTTGTGGGCCCCACCACATCCATGTGCACAAGTGCAAGTGGGGTCTTGGCTGGTCCTGTTGCACTGTTGAAGGGGAACTTGGAGAACTTGGTCTCCAAGCATGTAGGGCAGCTCCCAATCTCCTTCACTTCCCCTTTCACCTCCAAGCCCTTCAGGCTCCCATTCTTCACCAACTTCTGCAGCATAGGGAAGTTCACATGACACAACCTCTCATGCCATGTCTCCCAATCGGCCTCTCCACTCCTTGATGAAGCCTTAGCCCATGCCGCACTCGCATCCACACCAGCAAGCACCTCACCATGTGTCTGCTGCTGCTGCACTTTCTTGACTGCTTCCAGGACCCCATCAATTGGTGCAGTTGCATCTCCTCCTGCTGTTGCCTTTGCCGCTGCTGCCGTTGCTGCTGTTGGAGTCTTCCCATTCCAAGGGATGATGGGCAGCTGCCACAGGTCCTTGATGCAGCTGGTCTCCTCTTCCAGACTCCACAGCACCTTCTTCCCAAGCTTAGCACGGCAGCTGGTTGGTCCAAAGGTCACTTCGGCCTTACTCTTCTGCAGTCGCCGCACAGAGAGAAGGTTAGCAGACAAGCCTTTAACCAGCAGAACATTCCCAAGCCCCACAAGCTCCCCATTAGCTCCCTTAACCTTGGCATTCCCAACACCAATCACGGGGAGCAAAGCACCTGATGCTGCTGCCACATACTTAATCTTCCCAGGGGGTTTTACCTCATCAAGCAAATCTGCCCGTGGAGTCATGTGACTGGTGCAACCCGAATCAATCACCCAGTGCGTGAGAGGATGCATCACAACCTTTCCCACAGATCCCACATCACCCTCATGCCCATGCACATCCTCAACCATGAGATACATCCCAGGATAGGCGTTACCTTGTGCACCTTCACCTTGTGCACCTGAGCCTTGCACAGCGCCACCTTGTGCGCGTTCACCACTGGGCGGCTTCATGCCTGGAGGTGCCCATCCCTCCGGCCTGCTGAAGCACTTGAACCAAGGATGCCCAACCTGCTTGCAGTACCAGCAGGTGCCCTCCATTCTGGTACTCCCCCTGCCACTGGAGCTCCCATGCCCCTCATTATAGTCACCTCGGCCTCTACCTCTGCCAAAGCTTCTCCCACGGCCTCGGCCTCTCCAACCCCCTCTTCCTCTGCCGCGCC